AAGATGTTCTTTAAGTGGTCAGTCACTTGCACTTTAAAAAACAAAGCAATTATTATTTTTACATAAGAACATATACCTGATTAGATTTTTTCCTTCTTCTGGCTTTGATGAAATGTCATCAAGGACCTGGTGGAAAAAGACAAATCATCATTAATAAGATGTGCGTCAGTATCTTTAACAAGCTATGGTGTTCACTATTTTGTGAATATACACAGTAGGTCTTACCTTAAAAAGAGAAAAGACTTACATTTTGTATTTTGTTAATACCAGTGATAGCTGTAAAGCATCCACTTGTTTATCCAGAAATATTTAAAACTTTCTTAAGACTCAAATATTCTGTCACAATGCATATATAAATATACAGTATACATAGGGTGCCTATATGAGACAGTGTGCAATCTGGGGTATTGCCTGCCTACCATGCCCTGTCCCCCTTGCAGGCCGCAGAGTTTCAATGGCCTATTAATGACCCATTGTTTTATACTTCACAAATATTAACAATCACTTGTGAAGTAGCAATCAATGCATTTCACAGCTACTGCCACTCGGCCCTTGTGCTCTGCACCCAGGATACTCTATTTTAGTTGTTTTCATGAGCTGGCTGGGACCAACCTCCAAAATCTGGGTCTGTCCCAGCCAAATCTAGAATATATGGTCACCCTAAGTATAGATATCTCAAGATATTCTTCTGGCATCCAAGGATTGGCATCTTAAACTCACTTCATGCTCTGAGAGTAGGGCTAGGAGGGACCTCAAGAGATTATCTAGTCCAGGGGCAGGCAAAAAAAAAAAAAGAGTCTGGCCTACAGGCTGAGTCAGGCCTGCAGAAAATTCCATTTTGCAGCAGCCCCTGCCCGCATCACTGCAGCCAGTTTCCATAGAGAACCTAGCAGCAACCATGCTGTGACAGCAGGGGGCCAGTTCCCATGGAGATGATCCCCAGACACACTGGCAGGGTCTGCAACTGGGCAGGGAGCTGCTCTGGCACTGGGATCTTGTGACAGGGACAGCATGGTCCAGAGCCAGGGCACAGCTGCAATCTGTTGCCTGCACACCCCGGGCAGGGGCATTCAGGCAGCGGATCACTGCTCTGCCTCAGCTCCAGACCATGCTGTCACTGCTGCAAGGTTTTGGCTCCAGCTGCACAGCAGCTCCCCATCCAGCTGCACACCTTGCCAGCATGGCTGGGACTGGTCTCCATACTAACTCTGACCCCATGCTGTTATGGTACCATTGCTGCTGGGTTCTTCATGGAAGCCAGCTACAGTGACACAAGCAGGGGGAAGTGGAGTCCAGCCACCAGCCATATCCAACATTTTACCCCCCCCACCCCACCCCACCGCCCCTGCAACCTAGTCCAACCCAAGGATCAAATCTGCGACCTTGGAATTATCAGCACCATGCTTAGGTGTTCTCCATTTACACAAGTATGAAGCTAAAAGTTGGGATCCTAGATAGGATTTAAACAACTTACCAATGTATCTAGGATATTCCTGGTGTTATTTTTTATTTCAAGAGTATAACGTTTTTGTCCCAAAGCAGTCAAAGTCTTACTTTTGTTTCGACTTCCATAGGAAACAGTTAATGCATTTAAGCTGGCAGTGTCAAGCGTGAAGTAATCAGTCTATTGAAAAAGACAAAAACATTGCTATATATTTCTATATCACCATGACTATCTATGTATTTAAATCAGGATCCTTTAGATCAGGGGCAGGCAATTATTTAGGGCAGAGGGCCACTTACTGGAGTTTTGGCAAGCCATTGAGGGCTGCATGACAGGCAGCCCAGGGCAGATAAAGACTGATTTTCTAATTTATTTATTTATTTATTTATTTATTTATTTTTAGGGGCCCCCACAGGCCAGATAGAACCGCCTTGCAGGCCACATCCAGCCCCCAAGCCACATTTTGCCCACCACTGCCTTAGATGCAAGATTTCCAAGATGTATTAGTTATGTCGCACTTGATCTCCAGCATTTCATATATGCCTTGTAAGTCTGGGTTAAGGCTCTTACCAACTTTTATGCATCTAAAGACTGTAACTATTGGTCTATCATGGTTTTTGTTTAATTTTTTCTTTCATGCAGACTCCCAGGACTATAAATGTCATTCACACATGAAGTAGCAGCACTTTTCAGTAAGGACGCTTGTTTTTCCCTGAAAGGTATTAAACTGATAGTTTCCAAGCCAAGTTCTCTCTTCAGCAAGAATACAGGTACAGCACTGGCAGAGGCCATGCTGGATTCCCCACACGGCAGCACTAACGTGTCAATTCTTCTGGAAAAGTTTCAAAGACAGTGCAGCCTGTATACCACCAGGAATGTCAACAGGACATTCATTTGTGTCACCTGTAAGGAGATTCCCCCAACCACCCATTTTTCTCCATTTAGATTTTAAGATCACCAGGCCAGTCTGCCTCTTACTAACTATGCTTACAGACAGGACAATGGGCTCTGACCTTGGGTGGAACAAAGAGCTCCTAGAATACACATTAATAATTAATACAGTCATTTGTCTATTTCATGCAGACCACCCATCATATGGCAACAACTTTCACTCATTAAATACATGTCGTACACTGGAGTTGAACTGACCCTCTACAGGTTAAAGGCTCTACATTCCACTGAAAAATTCTGGAGTCATCTAGTCCCTCCAGAAACAATACTTGGCAAGTGTCAGCTCTGCAGAAGTGAAACACTGAACTCCGCAAGGCTGTCTAACTTTCACATATAAAAAGACAGCCTTATACATTCAGTTCCTTGATGTGGATGTGTTTGCTCTGAAGGTTGGGTGCCAGTATCTGTACCTCTTTGGACATGAGGCAAGTACTATTCCAGATTTACCATCCTGGGAAGCACAATAGGACAACGTTTGGTCTACCACGGTGTATTTTATGGATATAGAGGGACAGTCTCAGTTTGTGGAACTTGCTGGCAGCAATTTGCTCACTGCTTCAAACTAGAACTCTGCCTTCAGCAGCAAGTAGTAAAATGATAGTCTGTACTTTCTCACCTGACTTAGTGGGGTTTAAGGGGACAATATAGTGCTTTATAATGCAAGACCTGGAGAGTAATTATACGTTGACCTCAACAGCCATATCATTTTTGGATGTAAGCTACAGATTTGTTTCACCAGCAGCCATGGAGGCCAGCCAACTAATCGACCCATGGACTGGAATACTAGCCATGGAGACTCCAGCCTGTTTGCTGACAGGGATGTGGGGAAATGCACTTATGTATAGGGTACCAAGATACCATGTTATGTTACATACTTATCTGTAAAGTTTCAGCAGCAGAACATGGAGGTCAGCATAAGGAACATCAGAAGATTTTTAGTTCCAGATTCAAAATCTCACAGGCATTTAAAATGGCTCAGGCAGACTATAGAAGCCTATATACCCACAAGTGAGAGAAACCAGCCCTAATCAAGTAACTACAAAACCACTTAAGATGCCCAGAATCATGGAGGTGCCTCCACCTGAAAGTTTCTTAAGTAGCTATATTTGGGCTGCTTGCATATGCTCAGAGGTGATTTAAAATCATACACCTAACTTCCACCTTAAGCTCAGTTATGATCCAAGTTGGAAAAGAAATCCCCAACCCATTAGGCATCCACAGAGCATGCCAAATGTCTGATCCACTGACAGCACCAAGTGCCAGTGCTGATAGTGGCTGTGCCCACTTTTGTGCAAATCTAGTAGATAGTACTCACCTAGGAAAAGGGACACCTGAGTTCTATGCCCTCCTCAACCAGAGGACCGACCCGAATTGCCCTACTCCTTAGGACAGGAGTTTTTCAACCTTTTTTAGTCAAAGTACCCCCAGCAGCCAGACACCGAGTTGGGAGGGGGGGAGGGGTGGCACACAAGTGCCACCCCTTGGAACCAACTTCCAAGAGAGGTGGTGCAGGCTCCTACCCTGGGGGTTTTTAAGAGGAGGCTGGATGAACACCTTGCTGGGGTCGTTTGACCCCAGTACTCTTTCCTGCCATGGCAGGGGGTCGGACCTGATGATCTGCTCAGGTCCCTTCCGACCCTAGAAGGTATGAAACAAGTGGGTGGGGACAGAGTGCCACTGCCTCCCAGGAGCAGGGCTGGTGCAGGGTAGGGTAGCTCACTGGGCTGGTGTGTGGCAGCAGCAGCCACTGTGTGAAAGCTATCCTGCCCCAGAGTGCCACTACCCTTACCCTGCCCTGGCCGTGCTCCTTGGAGGTGGCGACACCATCCCCACCCACCCATGCGTACCCTCTAGGATC